CTCTCTCTCTCTCTCTCTCTCTCTCTCTCTCTCTCTCTCTCTCTCTCTCTCTCTGTGTGTCTGTCTGTGTGTGTATGTGTCCGTGTGTGTGGGCGCGTGTGTGACACGCGCGCATCCCGCCCCTCCCCGTCAACACCCCTCCTCGCCCCTCGTACAGAGTCAATCGGGTCCAGCATCTACATGCGCGCGAGGGCGTACGTTTGCCCACCTCACATCGCGCAGACAGCCCCACACGTTTGCCGCTTGCGTATGCACAAATAAATCCGCACATGTTCGCAGGATGACGACAAAACCTCTCAAACCCCGATCAACACCGTCTGAACACCCTCCCGAAAAAAAGATCCTGTTCACGTGATGCGTCTTTTTCTTGGCTGCCTGAGAGCATGCCCATACTAGGACTTACCTCCAGTGGATCCGGCCAGGTTTTCACTCAGATACATTCAGGAAAGCGCGAGTGTGAGTATGCCCTCAGATACAAAAAAGGGCGAGACAATAATGTAGAAGCCGCCCGAGTATAGACGAGTTCGGCATACTCTGCTCGCATGACACCCTCGCAAAACCCTTGCCCCTTGACGTCGAAATACTGTAATCAATCATCGCCCAGAAAACCCTTGCCCGATCCATTTGATTACCATACTTTTAACAAGGCCAATAAACATTTTTCAGTTGATGGTCAATTTTTTTAATCGTCGCTACCAATGGCCAATACGCGGCCCCCTCCGCCCCCCGCCCCCTTTTCCCCCAATCAGCAAGGCGAAAATGAGGAGGAGGAACGACGAGAGAAGAGAATAAAGGGTAATCAAGAGAGAAGAGGGCGAAGGTGGAGGTAAAGCGTCGAGGAAGAGGAAGAGAAGGAAGAGGAGAAGGAAGAGAAATAAGAGAAGGAAGAGAAGGAAGGGAAGGAAGAGAAGGAAGGGAAGGAAGAGAAGGAAGAGAAATAAGAGGAGGAAGTGAAGGAAATAGAAGGAAGAGGAGGAGAAGAAGAGAAGGGATGGGGAGGAGAGACGGGCGGAAAGAGATCAAAGGAAAGAGAGGAGAGATGCGACGAACAAGAGAGACTGGACAGAAAACGCGAGGGAGAGGAAAGACGAGACGTCAAGGTAAGAAGACAGTGGGAAAAAAAAAAAAAAAAAAAAAAAAAAAGGCGACAGGGGACATAAGCAAAGGGAGAGAAAACATGAGGGAGAGAAAAGAAAACATGACACGTCACGAAAGGGCAGAGGAAGGAGAGGGAGGAAGCGAGAGGGAGGACAGAACGTGAGCAAAGCGTCTAGGGGAGAAAGGATGGAGAAAATGAAGGAAAAGAGAAGGGACGAGAAAAGACGAAACAGATGACAGAGGAACGTGAGAAGGGAGAGACTAGCGGGGAGGAAGAGAAAGGAAGACAGGAGAGAGACCGAGAAGAGCGGACAGGGAGACAGAGAAGAAAGAAAAGAGAGAAAAGAGGGGAAAAAGACACGAAAGGGGAAAGAAAAGGGAGGGAAGAAAGAGGGATAATACAGGAGAGAGAGAGAGAGAAGCTGGCGAGGAGGACAGAGAAGGGCGAACAGGAGAGAGGCAGAGCAGAGCGAAAAGAGAGAGAGAGAGAGGAGGGTGAAAAGAGACAGAGGAGGGGGAAAGAGACAAGAGAGGGGAAAGAAAAGGGAGTGAAGAAAGAGATAGAGAGAGAGACAGCAGTAGAGAAATAGGCGAGACAATCAAGACCGAACACGGAAAACAGCAGAGAGAGAAGAAGAAGAAACACAGACAGATATGAATTACAGAGGCGGAGGCAATGAGAGAGAGAGACGGGTCACAAGAGAATAGCAATGTGAAAACACCTCTGAGATTCATCGACCCAGAAAACTGCGTGGAGAAAAAAAAAAAAAAAAAAAAAAAAAAGAGATTCATCAGCTGGCAAATGCGTGGCGCGCTCATGATAGAACGAACGACACATCTTCGACGAACGCTCCGTTCCAACAGGCTCCCCATTACAGGTAGGTACTCGTACTACGGATGGCCGAGGCACAGTTCTCCACTCAAGACCAGCCACTCGGATGATAAAACAGGTAGGCCTCGCTCCGGGGCCGAGGTCCCCAGTAGCAAAGAGTATTCGATTAAGCTCCTGAATCTGGACGTCTTTTCAGCAGAGATGCAGAAAAGTTGTTCAATCTCCATTTTCTGCACCTTTCCACAAACAAGTCCGGATCCAGGCGTTCAGTTCAATCCTCTTTGCTAGTGTCACCTTTCTCCGGATCTATACAACTGCTGCTGACAACCGCTGGGTGTTGGGATCCCCCCCCCCCCGCTTTATTCGAACATGTGATTCGAGATAGACACCGCTGCCACCCCTGCTCCAAAAGCATGAAATAGACAAAAACAAAAATCACGCTGAACGAAACAGCTTCAGGCCGGCTATGATTAGTATGTAGGACAATGAGACTACGGGAATACGTGACTATGAAAAGTATGAGACTATGGAGTATGGGACCATGGGGGGTATGGGATTATAGGAGTATGGGACTGTGGGACTATGGGAGAATAGGAGTATGGGAACAAGGAGCTGCCGGCGACCGCGAGGATTAGATTAGCGATAGATAGAAAGGTAGGTAGAGCGCGAGAGAAAGATAGACAGAGGTGGATGAGCGAGCGAGCGAGAGAGAGAGAGAGAGAGAGAACAGTCAGATTAGTATGCGCATTACCGTGGTATGCTTGCAGACAATAGAGATCGCACATGGAAGGAAAGAGCGAGGGAGCCATGATGGAGAGATTATCAGACAGCGAAATACAATCACTAAGGGAAGAAAAACTGCAGTAATATGTCCGCGTGGGAGACATACCTCAGTTTTGCTCTCACGTAGACAAAGAGCTGAGAGGCGGAAGAGAGAAAGAGCAGAATGGCAGATGCTCTCAAGGGGGGGGGGGTTGACTGCACGTGGCAGACGCAGCTAGCCGCCAATCAGCCACCAATTGGCAGAAAGAAAGAGAGATTGAGCGTTATGCAAGCCTAGCGCTTTATGGACAACTACATGAGAGAGAGAACGCGAAAAGAACACGGGACGGCCAAATAGAGGAAAACCGTGAAAAGAAAGATGAATCGATAGCATGAAGGCGGCAAACGGGAGGGATAGAGATCAAGCAGCTGGTTTTCATGGCACACTGAAAATGAACAGAGAGCGGGTGGAAAAGAACAAACGATTGCGCGGGAAGAAGAAACGGGCGCAAGGGAAGAAAATGCGCGCGAAGAAGAAACGCGCGGGAAGACGTCGTTAACACGCTAAGGGAGAAATCAACGGATCTTCCAAAGAGAACGCCCGCGCAGCCGTAGGCAAAACCCTTGGCGGCGCGTACACCGCGTTGTCGAGGGAAGGAAGAGGGAGCCGAACGGCGTACAGATAAGGCGTGTCTATCATAACCAGCGTCGCTGAGGGAAGGAAGAGGGAGGAAATGCATCGAACCGCATATGCAGCCAGGTGACGAAAGGAAGAGAAGGAAGAAGTTTGGGATGCTGCCGAGGGCGGGGGGGGGGGGGGGAGGAATCGCTACAACCACCGAGAATAAAGGAGGGCGAAGAGGGACGATCCCGGCGCGTATCAAAGACATGAAAGGGACAGCAGAGCGCAGATCGGGAATCGGAGGAAGTAGAAAGGGAAAGAAAAAGACGAGAGAGTGCCTAAGAACAGAGAACGCATAGCAAAGAAACGGAAGAAAAGGGGAATGAACCAAATGAAAGGAAGACGAGACGAGTCGTAAAAAGAAACAAAAAGAGACACGCCAAAAGAAAGAAAGAAAGAAAGAAAGAAAGAAAGAAAGAAAGAGAAAAAACGAGGAAGATAAGCCGACTGGTTCGAGAGAGAGAGGAGGAGGAAACAGGCATCAGGAAAAATGAGATAGAGAGAGAAAGTGGGCCGAGGAAGGAGCAAGGGAGTGGAACGGGAAAAGGGGGGAAAGGGGGAGAGAGAGAGAGGGTGATGGGAGGAGTAAAGGAGGGAGGGAGGGGGAAGGGGAGAAAGGGAGAAAGGGAGAAAGAGAGAAAGGGATAGGACTCGCCTGTGTCGAACGCGTGGATATCGTTTGTCTGTCGCTCGTCTTTGCCATAACCTCCGAACACATAGACGAGTTTTCCGTCCTGGACAGCATTACAAGTGTGGCCCCATTTACGACCCGGACCCTGAGCAGCGAGTCGTTGGGGAGAAGTCTTGTGCACTCCGCCATCGCCGGGAGGCTTGCCCTTTGGGGACTTCAACCGTATCTTCTCCCACCTCATCGTCTCGATATGCTCTCCGTTCTCCTGCTACACTGGCCTCTTTCGTGCGATTCGAGTTGTTCCAACTTCCTCCTCGTCCGATCTTCTGGAAAATCGATGCAACGTTCAATCCGATCTCAATATCAGCCTCGGCAGAGGAGGCGGAGGCCGGTCTCACTCTAAGAGCGAGCGCTCCATACGGTGCCTCTATTGCATTAAGATTGCCGGCCAACATCAGCGATCTAGGTATGCAGCCGTGACAACCGCTCCCTCAAATTCTTACCGTGCGATCCTCTCTCTCTCTCTCTCTCTCTCTCTCTCTCTCTCCCCTACAGTGACCTGCCTCCCCCTCCCCCGCTATGACATCTCCCTGACTCTCCCCCACCCGGGCGATATTGCTCTCTCTCTCTCTCTCTCTCTCTCTCTCTCTCTCTCTCTCTCTCTCTCTCTCTCTCTCTCTCTCT